TGCAAAACAACGCACTCATATTTAATTTATACCTCGCAAAATGAAACGGTTGATCTCATTTTCGAATCCCTTTTTGAGGCGCTCAATGGGAATTTCAGTTGTGTTCAATTAAGCACAAAGGTTTTGTTAGTATTCATCGTGGGTTTAGGAAACAATATCCGGGCGTCGGCTTAAACAAGGATGACGTCCGCAATATATCGCCGGCAGTGCAAATTGTTTCGTAATTAATCCGTTAAAACAATCCGGCGCTCATCCAGCGGCGGCTGTTTCGCAATGCGACGCTGTTTATTTTTGTGTTCGCCGGTTGTAATTACATCGGTGGCTGCTGCTGGCAGCAGTATTTACGGCTCCGCGCCATGAATTCTTAATCTCATTAATATCCCACGTTGTGTGTGTGTGTGTCTGTTTACCTGCAAAGCGGCGGCCGGTGCGGTCTGAATAATTGAGCCGTAAAAGGAAAACACACGAATTGATTCCGCAGTGACGCCGAACGCATTGAAACTCTTGGCATAACCAAAAAACGAGCGTCTGGTTGTTTAAATTTTACTGCGACTCTTCACGAATTTACAACCTATGAGAAAGTTGTCGGAAGTTGCGAGACAATAAAAGGGAGAGGTTTTACGGCAGACGTCATTACACGTTACGCGCACCAGGGCCCTTTTGTAATGGGAAATTCCGATACTGACCCATTTTCCGATGGGAATCAAGGGAGCAAGTATAGGAAAATAACTAACCCTCGTACGTCGACGTCTTTTGATATTGAGGGACACGACGGACGCGATCGATTTGTAGACCAGCAGTGTACACACACAGGCTGCCTATCTATTTGTATTTACGGCAAATTGCCGCACTTGACATTATGCAATCGGAATTTCGGCAGCCCCGAGGCGATTCCTATAGGGCCAAATCGAATTAGCCTTGTTGCTGTGGCAACGCAAACGCTTCGATGAACGATTTCAGACTTTTGTATGAGGGAGAATTTAATATGAATACTTTATTTGAAATCATTTAACTGAAGATTAAATTATATAAAATGTTGATTGCAGATTTGATTGATTCAATTAATTGATTCTCTGTCTAAAATTCAAGAAAATGTACATAAAGATGCACGCATTGAAGAGGATGGTCAAGCAACAGACCTAGCAAAAGGAAATAACAAAACTTTTAAATTAACAAGTAAAACAATTTTGAAATGATTTGGGTGATTTTAGTTTATTAATTTATCATCTTTGTTATTTTTAAGTAATTTAATTTTTTGAGAATAAATGGTGAACATGACCTTTTTTCATTACCTGCGTAATTATCTTTTGGTGAAGTATCTGATTCAAAGTGTTAAAATTTAGCAAAGAAATTGTTAAATACGTCTTGTGGATCTTTCTAACTAGTTTAAAGGCTGTACGAAAGGTAAATTTATTCTGCCCAAGCCGAAACTAGAACTGTCAAAATTGCTGTTTATCATGAATTAATAAAAATTTAAAATACCTGATATAAAAATTATTCAATTTTTATCACAATCCACAATGCTTGACGGTGAGATTTCATCATAATTAAAAGCAGAAAGTTTCGCGGAACCGCTGCTGACATATTGAAATTTTCTACCGAGAATATAAATGGCCTACTAAATTTAAAGCAGTTAACTTTTCCCGTGTGTGCCGTGGTGTGCTGTGCCTTTCAAACGCGAAATGGAGCGTTGAGTGAGCCCGAGCGTTATAAGAAGTTTAAAGGCCGCACGAGAGAATTTGTTATTCGCCGCCGCCGCCGCTGAATGGAAAAGAATAAAGAAAAAGAAAGAAAGTTCCGCACCACCGCAACATCGATCCGCGGCGTCAGGCAGAGCAAACTCGCGGCCTAATTAATACTGATTAAATTGGTCAAAAAGACTCTCGCCAAAATGAATTTCAACCTTTTCGAAAGAGATGGGAAAGAGGAGCAGAACCCGCTCGTTAGTCTTAATTGAAGATTATATACATATTATGTATCAGTCTGTGTGCAAAAAAACGTGAAATATGAGTGAATGAAATACTATCCACGGTGATGCGTGTCAGCGACAGTCGTGTTTCGGGACAAGCTCTCCATTTTTTTTTTCATCCAACTCACGCATCTCCCTCACTCGGCAGTAACCAGAATAAAGTCAAAAGAAGAAAATAATAGAGGGAGAGAAATAAATTTTTGTGTTTGTTATTGAAAATTTTCAAGAATCAAAATTATTTGAAACCTTTCAAATAAAAAAAAAAAAATCAAGGAGCCATTCAGACAGACAAACATTATTTAATGTAGCTAGATTATAAACCACTCTCTAATCAAATTGTAAAAATTTTATGGAATAAAAAATAAACTATATCTTCTACTTAATCTAGTGATTTCTAAACCAAATTTTTCCAATGCAATATTTTCTTTAATATATTTAACTTTTTATTTAAATCAAATTTTCAGCACAAAAATGGGCTCCGCTTTGTATTTTTGCCTGGAAAGGGTCTCCCATTGCTTTTTCGGCCTGTCACTCGTACGGTGCGTGCGTCATGCCCTCTCCCTACTAGTTGCTGCTTTAATATTCGGTCGGCCTGGTTGACTTGACACACTTTTGTTTCCACAGGGTAAATATTTAATGTGCTGAGAGGGAGAGAGACGTTCGCTGTACCTGCCGATGCTGAGCTGCAACCTGTCACTTACTTACTTTCGCCCCAAACTCTCGACAGAAAAAGCAGCTTGTCAAAATCGATCAGTGTGCAAATTCAATTTACTCGCCCACCCTCTCTTCATGCCGCGAGACACACAGAGAGGAAATGTTTTAATCTGGCCGCGACCGATAAAAAATAAGGGGCATCGCGAGTCGAGGCACGATTTCTGCTCATCACACACGCGCCTCTCTTTTTTCGTTGTTTGGTGTGCGGAGGCTGTCGCCGAAACTACGCCGCTCTCTCGTGGCGAATTTGAGACAAGCACGGCGTCGTGATCAGAGGAATTCTTAGCCGCGTAGTCATTGAATTGTAATACAGTTCGTTGAACCTTTGACTCTCTTTGAATTTTTTTCGCCAATAAAGCATTAAATTCTTTTTTTCAGGCTTATTACATTTTTTATATTTTTTGGTTGCTTTAATTTATTTAACTTAAATTTTGAATTTTCAAATTATTACGTGTTTAAAATAGAAGTAAAAATTATATTAATTGAAAAATGTAAATAGTATATTAAATTACTTCAGAATTGGTAAATTTGAAACATTTTTTATGATATTTTATAGATTTTAATTAATTTGTATTTTTCAATATATTGTTAACCCCTTGAAATATTGGTTTGTAAATGTTACAAAATGTAATCTTTCACGTTGTTGCTCAAATTAATTATCATTTGAATAACGAATGTATTTAATTTTTGATCAATTTTTATGTGAAGAGCATATAATTATAACTATCAGAAGTAAACCATAAATTTTTTTATTATTCAATCTGACTTTAAATAAATCTGAGGTGATAAAACTTATTTATATACTAAAGAAATTAAACGTGTCTCCACCTCAAATTAGAAATACCTCTTAGTTAGCTATCTTGAGTTTCTGTCAGTTTGAGTTAGATTTGTATAATTATTTTCATATTTTATGAGTTTATCGGGTTTTTATTTTTATCTTTAGCTTGACATGCCAAGCTTAAGACTTTTTATTCACATAGCGTGTTGCTTCTTATCAACTTTACAATTTTCCAGACTTTTTCACTGCCATGCTTTTATCAAAATAATTCACTAATTCGTCGTGCAACGAAAAGTAGCAATTGTTGCTTGGGCTTTTTTTAAGCCCTACTTTTGATGTAGGTCATAGAAGGAAGTTATATTCCACCTGTTATCCTCTTGAAATCATCAAACCTCAGGGTGCCATAAATCACTTTTTTTTGTATGTCAAGACATGATTCCATTCCATTTGTCAAATGAGCCGCGTTTCAAACGGTGATGGATGAAAGGAGAAGTTTGGCGCCGCCGCTCGCAAGTGCCACTTGGGGTAAAATCAACAATCAAAAACTCTCTCCTTCTCTTGGCAATTTTAATTTCACTTTTGTAGGCGTTTCACGAGGCGGACGAAATCAAAACCGCAGCGAGTCATAATTTCAGCAGCGTTCCTAAGGGAAATCCTGCTCCGGGGCGGCGCAAAAGTTGCGAAATCAGGACGGCAAAGTGCCGGTACATCGCCACCAAGTTCCTGACTCTTGGAAAGAAAAATTTATACGCGCGGTGCTTTTGATAGGGGGAAGTTTTATGACGGCGCGTGAACTCACCATTAGGGAAAAACGTAAATTAAAGAGATTGCAAATAGTGTTGAGCCTCCAGTGGCAATACTTAAATATGTCACTGAAAATAAAAATTATAATTCCGTTACAACATTGAATTACTGCGCAAAAAGTTATTTAAAAAGTTTCATAATAGTCCATTAATTACAAGATAATTAATAATGTTTTTTCTGAATAACATAATTCGCAAAATTAATTTTGAAGGGAAATAACGGGAAATAAACAACTTTTGTCTTCTGTTTCTCATTTTTAAGCTAATTATTAACTCTTTTTCTTCTAAAATCACCATAAAATCAATTCACTTTTTTATTTTTTCAAAGACATACAAACGATAAAGGAATAAATAATTATTTTTAATATTTTTAACGGTTCTTTTTAATTCTATGATATTTTGTCCCTTTCTTTGACAATTTTGCTTAAAATTCAGATACAAAGAGCACCATAATCCCTGTATTAATAATTACACTCCTATTATTTTTTTCATTTTTTATCAAAAACGGAAAAGGCTTTGTTCTTGTTAATCCATCCTGTCTGCAGGGGTCGGTTATGCAACTGGCGCACCGCAGGTGCTGCACACGCAGCCTAAGCGACCCCTGCCACGCGCTCCACTGGCACACTGAACTTGTTTATTTCTCGCGTTGTTTTGCTCTCTCTCCCAAAGCGGATTATTCTTTATAGCTTGGTGCGTCGAGCATTTATTTATCCCTGGCTCTTTTGCGTGTTGACAGGAGCCAGTGTGGATCTCCGAGGCGAAGAGCTAACGACCATGCAGCGCCGCGATGAAACACTCTGACTCACCTCGAGGGTGGCAGCGGCAGGAGGCAAGACGGAGCCGAAATCTCCACCAGTGAAAAGGTAAGACGGGTAGAAAAAATGTGGGAAATCAGGCACTACATATTTCTTTTGAATAAAATTCAAATCAATATAAATTTTACTAGATGTTTTCCGTTAAAGCAGAAAAATAATTTAATTATGTTTTTTTATAAATGTAAAATTTTATTTTAAAATAAATGTTTCACCGAAATATTTTCCCAGATTAGTCTGTTAGATATTAATAATAATAATCAAATTTCAAAGATTTTAGAGCTAAAAAAATCTAGATATGAATGCATACAAAGTACAAATTTATTTGGAACAATTAGTTTGCGTGCCCAAATATTTTAATCCAAGTAAATTATCACAATATAAGCTTACAGTTAGTTAAATGATGGATGTATAAAATAAAATTATTTTGACCCGTGCCAGCGCGAGCAGATTGAGAACTCTAGACCATTTGGCAGACGCGTTTTTGCTTCTCTTCCTTTCTATTGACTGGTCGTATCTTTCTATATTTATTTTCACACTGCCACCCCGGGAAACAGACGACGAGCAAAAAAAGCGTTCGTGCCCGATGCAAAATGGAGTCCTCTCGCCGCAGCAGGAAAAACATCTCACGCAGTGCGGCCTCCAAGTGAATGATTGAATTTCCGACAGGAAAACACCAACGCAAGCGAAGCAGACATGAAGAAAATAGATAATAAATCCGATTATGATGCTGCGGCATTGCGACGCCAAACTGAGTATCGACGAGATAAAGCAACTTTTGCACGGGGGTGGAGATCGATCAAAGGCGTATCAAATATGAATAAAATGAAGAAAAAAAATGGGTTGAATTAATAGTTTAAAGAGAACCCAATTTTTAAAATAGCGTTTAGTTTTACTCAAAGATCTTCTTTACAATCAAATTTAACTTAACAAATTAAACGATTTTTTAATAAATTCTGAAAGTTTTTGTAGAAATTATTGTTTTTCCTTTATAATTTATTATTATTTTCATTACAAATTTTATATATTTTTTGTTATTATATAGTAATATAAATAACTCTTGTCAAAGTATTATTAATAACAGATGCAACAAAAAATTTATTAATTATAAATTATGTTGCAACAAGCTTGAATTATGCGCATAGTAAACTTAAATAATTTCTGGCATCACTGCTCTCTGATTTTCAATAGACGATTAAATATTTTTGCGGAGGGTATTGCGGCAACAATCGGAATCCTCTATAGACGATAATTTTAAGGTATTTTTGCGGAGGGTTTAGTCAATATATCATGATCAAATTACAAACAAAATGAACTATTGTTAAAGATAATATAACAATTGTAATAACATTTTCATGCCAATTTCAAGCAAATAATTATTTGAGCTACCAATTAGAAGAACTACAATTTTATAGCGTATAGTGTAAAACAATTTTATAATCAAGTTTCCGTATTATTTTCTTGGAATGCTTCGCGTGAGCTCTTTTGTTCAATATATTCCAGTGAAAACGATTAAATAAATCGGCACGAGACAAACTCAGTTGGCACGATGGTGTGCTTTTTGTAACAAAACTGAATATATCCATTTCCCTTTTGTGTTTACGAGCAAAACGCGAGGGAATAAAATGTTTTCCTCCGGCAAAGAAACACAGGGAAACTGCCGAGCACGAAAATAATCTTCCACGGAAGCGTGGTTGTGATGCTCGCACCTCTGGGGGGCGAACTTTTCTTATTAACTTACTGCTCTATGCATTACAGAGGCTCGTTATATACATTTTCATAATGACGATACTCTCCGGCAGAAAATTTATCGATGCATCAGATTTTCCGCACAAGCGAGTGGCTTAATTAGTTTATCTGCCCGTGCAGCAGCAGCCATTACGCAGCGCACGCCAGATGATTCTGAAGCTCTTTCGCTCCAATAATGAGCCTGTGCTGCCGCTTTTAATAATTACACAGAACGAAAATACTCCGCAGCTTCCCCCATATTTCACCGTTGAGGGGTAAACGGAAAATCCGCCCTGGCTTATTTGAACGCACATTGAAATGCCAATCATGATTCTGAATGCGAGCGAGTGGTGTGCCTTTGCAGCTTTGTTGGAATTGCAATTAGCTTGGTTTCACTACTTTGAAATTGCACTGCTGTGCACGACCAGAGCGATTACGATTAGTTAGCATGAGTCGATCCGTAGCCAGTAATTGTCGTTATGTGCAAACCATGCTGATTGCCATTGCACGAAAGGAAATTGACTTCAATTTTATCAAAGCTATTAATTACTTTAGGGCTTCTTTTGTACAAACGTATAAGAATAATTGCCTTTTAAAATCAAATTAATTATAAATTATTTTGCTACAGAAAAATAAAAATTAGTTGGCACTTAAACAAGAGTGTTAGGCGAGAGATGTTAGTATTACATATTATCATAAATTTTAAAATAAAATAATTGACTCCCTGCAAAATCTGAGCAGGATAGAAATTGAATTCCAACTTTATTGTATTGCTAGAAGAATTAATAGCTGAAAAGCTTAACACATTTGGCCTAAAAAATAAATACATATCCACAAAATTTGCATTCAATTTATAAAATTTTTTATTGCAGGTTTCTTTTTTAATTTGCTGCTATATTAATGAGATTAATTGTAATTTATATTCTTGTCTTAAAATATTTCATCAATTTGTGTATTTCAAAACTTTGCGTTTCCCTAGAAACAAATGGGTATATCTGTGACTATCAATTACGTATTTATATATATAGCGTCAAAAAACATAAATTTTTTTATATTCAATTTGTATCATTACAATATAGCTGCAAAATAGCAAAAATCGTGTTATCCAATACAAATTCTCTTAAAGTTTAAACGTGAACAAATAATTTAAAAAAATAAATACAATAAAAAAATATATAATTAAAAAAAAGCAATACCAGGAAGTAAATAATAATTTTGTTTTTAACACACTAAAAGTACAATATTCTATAATAAAATTTATGTATTTTTAAACTTGCAAAATCAACATGTATTTTAACACGTTGCGCTTACAATAAGCGTATCTTCTGTCTTTTTTCGCAATGTTTGCCTTTCCGCCAAAAGGCATTGCTCATCCTAATTGTTTGTTATTTCGACTAATATGGCGGAAAATGGAATGCAAACACACTCAACGACGGGCAAATTCTGACAACGGCAATAATGACGACGGAGAGAGACAAAGCGAGTGACTGCTGAATCATCTGGGCCAATTACACGCGAGAGTTTCGCCGTCGAGGGCAAACACAAAAGGACGTGCAAAGCATTGCTGTCCATATAGACCGTCGGTGCAGTGTTATTTTTGAACCCCGACCATTAGCATGCAAAACAATGCCAGCGGTGCGGCGGCTTTTTGCGCTGTGTCACGGCTCACGACCGGCCCAATTTGTCATTCCAGCCGAAGTGTCAAACGCGAACAACAAATATGAAAACACGGTGCTTTTTTTTCGGTAGTAAAAAGATGAGCTGAGGGCCAGTGTATCAGTCAAAAATTATGCAAAAGCACGTAATCAGGACAAAATAAAAAGAGGTTTGTATAAAAATTAGGCTCCTGTGAAAGTGGGGTTGGTTTATGGGCACTGGCAGATCGATATTTATGACTGAATTTTACGTTGATACATGGGAAAGCAATGACTACGATCGTAAATTTAATGTTGGCAAAATGACATAAAACAGGGTGGGTGTATCTAAAATCATTTTTCCCGAATTGTTTCTATAGATAAAAATGTTATAGGCAGTTGTTACTTGCAAGAGAGAAAAAGTGTGTTCGTAAAAGGGTGAGTAGGAGATAAAAATCGAATAGATAGTATTAATTTATGATTTCAAGTTAACTTTGTTTATAAATTAAAATTTAATTTTTTAGGAACTGAGCAGTAGGAAAAGTAATGTAGCACAATTTATATACCAGTTTTATTATTTAAATTTTAATTTTTTTAATTCCCATTCAAACTTTAAATTCTGAAAAGTCTAGTTTAGATTTCAAGAAAAGACAAAAATATCCTCTAATTATAGTTATATTGTTTGCGCTCCTAGATTAAACAATAAATTATTCTACATTTATTTTTATTTTATATGAAACCAAATTTGAAAATTTTCATGTCAAATACGCAAATGTCTATTTAATTAAAAATAAAACCAATTTCTTTTTACAGGCTTCCCTTTCAGTAGCAAAAAAAAATTCAAAGCCAACATCAAAAGCCTATAAATGTTGCTCGGAGTGGAATTGTGAAATTATTGGAGCGCGACCTAAATCATCGTGCCCTTTTGCTAATTAGCCTCGTCACTTGTTCCAGAACGGCAAATAAACATCATGTCAAATTAAAGTATAATTAGTATGAATTTCCTGGCAGCACTTGATATTAATTCTCCAACGTATATGCATTTATTTGTAAAGTATACGTTTGATGTGGCCGCGCCGCCGTCGGTCTAATTCAATTAATTCAGACTTTCGCCTCCATTGGAGCGAAATGGAGACGGATGTGCAACAGTTGCATTTCCATATCGTGTTTACAAAGGCAGCTGCCTGTAAATTTCAATTTTCTGTTTTCTTTTTTTCTTTAGAGACAAGCAGCAGAGGGATTTAAGTCGTTTGAGGAAATGAGAGACGAGCAAAAGGAAGGACAAGTAATCGGAAAGAAAATAAGGCCTGCTCATTTTCCTTTTCCATCACATTTCGTACTCGCAGGGGCTCTCATTTAAAATTATAATCAAGCGGCTTTTGTCTTAATTTGCGCTACGAGATTAACGTGCGCCCAAAACTAATCCGCGTACCTACTTGGCGCGAGCACATTATTTTATTCAAATTAGTGAGACCGCCTTCTTGCCAGATCTGCTTTTGCCGCAATGAGATTTGCTTTAATCTCGGTCCGCACTTGAGCTTTCGAAGTGTGCGGGAAATAGTGTGCCAAGAACGACGAGACGGGGGGAAGAGCAACTTAAATTTTCATTAAATAAGCGTAACTTAACTTTTAATTTCTGGAAATAATTTTTACTTAGTAAAAATATCTAAATACATTACGTGTTCTTCA